AAAACTGAACACAGTACTCGAGGTGCGGCCTCACCAGAGCCGAGTACAGGGGGACGATCACCTCCCTAGCCCTGCTGGTCACGCTGTTTCTGATACAAGCCAGGATGCCGTTGGCCTTCTTGGCCACCTGAGCACACTGCTGGCTCATATTCAGCCGACTGTCCACCATCACTCCCAGGTCCTTCTCTGCCTGGCAGCTCTCCAACCATTCCTCTCCCAGCCTGTAGTTCTGCTTGGGGTTATTGCGTCCCAGGTGCAGGACCCGGCACTTGGCCTTGTTGAACTTCATACAGTTGACCTCAGCCCATCGGTGCAGCCTATCCAGATCCTCCTGCAGAGCCTTCCTACCCTCGAGCAGATCAACACACGCACCTAGCTTGGTGTCATCTGCAAACTTACTGAGGGTGCACTCAATGCCGTCATCCAGATCATTGATGAAGATGTTAAAGAGGACCGGCCCCAGCACCGAGCCCTGGGGGACGCCACTAGTGACTGGCCTCCAACTGGACTTGGCTCCATTTACCACAACTCTTTGGGCCCGGCTATCCAGCCAGTTTCTAACCCAACGAAGCGTGCGCCAGTCCAAGCCAAGAGCAGCCAGTTTCTTGAGGAGAATGCTGTGGGAGACGGTGTCAAAAGCCTTGCTGAAGTCAAGGTAGACCACATCCACAGCCTTTCCCTCATCCACCCAGCGCGTCACTTTGTCGTAGAAGGAGATCAGGTTCGTCAAGCAGGACCTGCCTTCCATAAACCCATGCTGGCTGGGCCTGATCGCCTGCTTGCCCTTCAAGTGCCGCATGATGACTCCCAAGAGGATCTGCTCCATGAGCTTCCCTGGTACTGAGGTCAAACTGACCGGCCTGTAGTTCCCCGGGTCTGCCCTCCGGCCCTTCTTGTAGATGGGCGTCACATTCGCTAGTCGCCAGTCAGCTGGGACCTCCCCCGATAGCCAGGACTGCTGATAAATGATGGATAGGGGCTTGGCCAGCTCCTCTGCCAGTTCTCTCAGTACCCTTGGGTGGATCCCATCCAGCCCCATCGATCTGTGGACATCCAAGTGCCGTAGCAGGTCACCAACCAGTTCTTCGTGGATGGTGAGGGCCACATCCTGCTCCCCGTCCCCTTCCACCAGTTCTGGGTACTGGGTATCCAGAGAGCAACCGGTTTTGCCGCTAAGGAATGGAATGGAAATGGAATGGAATGGAATGAAAGAAAGGAAAGGAAAGGAAAGGAAAGGAAAGGAAAGGAAAGGAAAGGAAAGGAAAGGAAAGGAAAGGAAAGGAAAGGAAAGGAAAGGAAAGGAAGGAAAGAGATGAGAATTAAAAAAAATGTCAAAGGAACGTAACGGAACGGAATGGAATGGAATGAAATGGAAATGGAATGGAATTGAATTGGCAGTGGAATGAATGAATATGGAATGAATGAAATTTGAAATGGAATGAAATGGAATGGAAATAGAATGGAATCGGAAACGGAATGGAACGAAATAGAAAGGAATGAATGAATGGAATGGAAATGGAATGGAATGGAATGGAATGGAATGAAACGAACGGAATTGGAATAGAATGGAAATGGAACGGAATGAATGATAATAGAAAGGAATGGAATGTGAATGGGATGGAATGGAATGAAATGGAATGAATAGAATGGAATGGAACGGAATGGAACGAAATAGAAGGAATGGAATGGAATGGAATGGAATGGAATGGAATGGAATGGAATGGAATGGAATGGAATGGATAACGAAACGGAATGGGAATAGAATGGAATGGAACGGAAATGGAATGATATAGAAATGAAGGAATTGGAATGGAATGGAATGGAATGGAATGGAATGGAATGGAATGGAATGGAATGGAAGAGAATGGATATGAAATGAAATGGAAAGGAATGGAATGAAATGAAATGAAGTGGAATGGAATGGTGTCGTGGTTTTAACCCGGCCGGCAGCTAAACACCACGCAGCCGTTCGCTCACCCTCCCCCCTCCCTTCTCTGGGACGGGGGGAGAGAAATGGAAAGTGAAGCCCGTGAGTTGAGAATAAAGACAGTTTAATAAGACAGGAAAATAATAATAACAAAATAATAATAACAATAATAACAATAATAATAATATTGGTGATACTAGGGAAATAATAATAATATGTACAAACAAGTGATTGCACAATGCAATTGCTCACCACTCGCTGACCGATGCCCAGCCTAACCCCGAGCAGTCCGGCCCCCCTTCCCCGGCTAGCCACCCCTATATATTGTTTAAGCATGACGTCAGATGGTATGGAAATCCCCTTTGGCTAGTTTGGGTCCACCTGTCCTGGGTCTGCCCCCTCCCAGCTCTTACTGCACCCCCCAGCCTGCCCGTTGGCAGGACAGAGCAAAAGGCTGAGATGTCCTTGGCTTAGTATAAGCACTGCTCGTGCAACAATTAAAGCATCGGGGTGTTATCAGCACTCTTCTCATCCTAAGCCAAAACACAGCATTCCACCAGCTACTAGGAAGAAATTAATTCGTGCTAACTGAAACCAGGACAAATGGATAGGATGGAATGGATAGGAATGGAATGAAATGAATGAATGGAATGGAATGGAATGGAATGGAATGGAATGGAATGGAGTGAAATGGAATGGAATGGACTGGAATGGAATGGAATGGAATGGAATGGAATGGAATGGAATCGAAAGGAATGGAAGGATTGAAATGAAATGAAATGAAGTTGAAAGGAATGAATGGAATCGAATGGAATGGAATTTAATGGATGGAACGGAACGGAACGGAACGGAATGGAATGGAATGGAATGGAATGGAATGGAATGGAGGATGGAAATGGAATGGATGGAATGGAATGGAATGGAATGGAATGGAATTGGTGGGCTGTGCCTGGATGGAGGCCGTGGCCTGTGGAGAGGCCCCGCAGGGAGCAGGCCCCGGGCTGGACTGGAACAGGCTGTGCTGAGCCTGCTTTGTCCGTGACGTTCCTTGGGGAATGATCTCCCTGTCCTCTGGCAGCCCTGAGGCCCTTTCCATCCTCTTTTCTCCCCTTTGCGTTGGAGGAGGGGCAGGGAGAGAGCGCTTGTGCTGGAGCTCAGCTGCCCAGCTAAGGAAAACCACCACGGCTCTCTCTTGCCGCTGCTGCAGCACGCTGGTAGCAGCCAGCACCATCTGTTCTTCGAGCGTCAGCAAGCCCACAGCATCTTCCTTGAAGGGATCCCGTTCCTTCACGCCTGACAGGCGCCGCCTCCAGAGGTTGAGGGCTTGTGCCCCGTTTGCAAGCACTTTCTCAGTGCCCCCTTCCCAGAGAAGGATCCCAGCTGCTTGGCTTCCCTGCCCCTCTGCTGCCAGGCTCCCGCAGCTGCTATCCCAGCAGCGCAGCAGCCAGCTGACAATGTGCTCGCCTGAAGGACAGCTGCAATCTTGTCCCATTACTCGCAGCCCGCCCAGGGACGGGGATCACCTGCTTCCTGCTGCTTTTGTCTCTGTTCTCCTTTCCAACAGCCTCCTGTTCCCTGGGACGGCCCTACCTTGGGGGAGCCTGCCTCGCCTTCCTCTTGCTCCTTCCCCTTCTTGGGAGGACTTTCTGCCCTTCCGAAACGAGATGACTTCTGCACGCATTCCTTCCCCTTGTGTGTATTGGCACCTGAGACAGCAACGGGGTAGTCCCCAGAGCCAGCTCTTAGGGCCTGTGCCAGGCTTGGTGTGGCTGCAGGGAATATGCCAGGGGCTGGAGGGGCTGCAGGGAACATGTCAGGGGCTCAAGGGGCTGCAGGGCGAGTGACAAGGCTTTGAGGGGCCTCAGGTCCCACCGCAGTGGTTGAAGTCGATGCAGGGAAACATCAGAGTTGTTGGAGGGGCTGCAGGTAAAATGCCAGGGCTTGCAGGGGCTGCAGGGTGCATCAGGTCAACAGCTTTGCATCAGGTTCAAGACGCATTTTGCTAGAACCATACATTTCCTCCAGAAGGGGCTGAAGAGCATGGAATGGTCTTCAAAATGCACAGAGCAAACCCCAGCAAAGGTAGAGCTGCTGCTAGCAAGTAGGTAACTTTATTGTTCCTGTTGTTAATTTTGTTTCACAACAACAGATGCAAATATGTATCTTGAGTTGAGGGCAAAGGTGACCTTGGATCTGAAGCTCACAGGCGTTCGCTAATGTACCCCATCCGGAGTGAATCCAGAACGACTCGGAAGGAAAAATAAAGTCCAAACCAGTGCGCTGTGATAAAGAGAGTTTAATAGGGTAGAAAAGGAAGAGAAACAAACATAATAATAAATAGTGATATTTATAATTTATAATATATTAATATATAAAAATATTTAATACTAATAAATACTAAGACTTATAATTTTATAATAATAAAACAATGCCATACTGTACAACACAGTCAATAAAGTGGATTTAATTAAATAAATAATAAAACCAATAAATAAATGAAAATTTAAAAAAATAAATTTAATAAAAATAAACCCATTTTTTCCCATTCCAATGAATTGCTATCCCATCATCACTTCCCATCCCACTGATCATTTGCTATCCCCAAAAACCTCCCAGTTCTTATCCCCTCGGCATCCCAGTGCAAGAAGAGCTGCAGGCAGAGGCCTTGCTGAGTGACCACCTAAGGAGAGGAATTTAATCCAGAAGGCAGGAAAGAAGAGCAATGCCCTGAAAGAAGTAAGTCCTGTCTCTCAGCCCTTTGGTGTCCCAAGCAGCAGTTGCCATGGCCAAGTTTTCCCAGCCCAGCTGCTGCCAGCATCTCCCCAGCTTGCCAGTGCCACCTTCCTGGGTGAGGCACGCGCGCATTTGCCATTGGCATTTGCCGTTGCCCATCCCTGAGAGTGGCAGCAGTGCGTAGGTCCAGCATGAGAGAGGGGAGAGGGCAAGCGAGAGGGGCAAGGGCTGAGGAGCGTGGCTGAAGCTGGAGCAGGTGCCTGCAGAGGTCTCTGTGCCTGTGTGCTGAGCGGGCCTGGGTGCTGCGGGGGCCGTCGAGGAGAAGCCCGAGGTCAGTCACGGGTAGCCGTAAGAGTAGGCTCTGGCGTGGTCCTTCTGCCGCTGCACGAAGAATTGCACGGGGGCCGATCTTCGTCTGGTGGGCTGCCCGCTGCCGCTCCTCCTGGGCCAGCTTCTTCAGGCGCTCCCGCTCGGAACGCTGCTGCGGCGTGATGGGCACCGATTCCTCCTGCTCCTCCAGCGGCGTGGGCGCCGCGTCGCGGCCTGCCCAGGGCTCCACGCAGGACACGTAGTCCACGTGGGGCTGCGCCGGATGCTGCAGTGTGCGTGGCTGCGTGGGCAGAGCCGGACTCTGCGCTTGGCCCCCCACGGCTGGCAGGCCCAGCGCTCTGGGCGCCGGCTCTAGGGGAGCTCTCCATGCTGGCGCCGTGCTGCCTGGTGGTGCCGGCAGCGCCTGGGCCTTGTGGCCAGCTGGGGGCTGGGGGGCAGCGGGCGCAGCGCTGGAGCCTGGCAGCGTCGGCCGGGCCCTGGGCATGCTGCTGGGGCCGCTGGAGGTGGGCTGCGGCTGCACACAGGGTGGCTGGTGCACTGGCCCCAGCGCCTTGGCCCTGGCCCCCAGCAGCTGCAAAGTCTCGCTGGGGGTCTTTGTCTCCGGCTGCTGGCGCTGCAGCGTCTTGGCCCCACTGGCTTGGGGCCGGAGCCTGTCCTGGGGCCGCATGGCACAGGCACGGGCACGGGGCTTCATGGGGAGGGGTTCCGGCAGCAGCAGCGTTCTGCGAAGAGACGGCGCTGCTGCTCCTTGCCCCCCAGCAGCCCCCGGGCTTCGCGCTCTCTTGCTGGACGCCCTGGTGCTGTCGCTCGCCAGCTGCTGCCTGCCACTGCCCGCTTGGCTGCTGCTGCCAGCCAGCGTGCTGTGGCCACCCGTCTTACCCTGGCACAGCGTCTTGGGGCCTTGGCCAGCCTGGCCCAGCAGCAGTCTTCTCCTTGTCGGGGGTCTTGTCCGTCGTCGGCCTCCTGTGCTGGGAGCTCTGCGCTGTGCTGGGGGTGCCAGTGGGCGCGGGGCGCTTGGCCCCCCACTTGGTGCCGGTGGGCGCAGGGGCAGGCAGGGGGCTCTGGAGGGGACTGTGAGGGGGACTGGGCAGGGCTCTCCTCAGGGCTGGGAGAAGTTGAGGCCTCTTGAGGGGAGCCAAGGGAGGCTGGGGCAGGGGTCTCCTGCGGGCAGGGAGCCAGTCAGGGTCAGGGGGCCTCTTGAGGGGAGCCAAGGGAGGCTGGGGCAGGGTTCTCCTGCGGGCAGGGATGAATTCCTGCTGGGGGGGCCTTTTGGGCAGGGCTCTCCTGAGCTGGGGCCGGGCTGCAGGCTTGAGGGGGGAGCTGAGTGGCGGCACAGCAGCTGCAGGGGGCTGCAGCGCCCGCCCAGCCTGCACCTTGTCGGGGTGCAGCCCAGGGCTTGAGGGGACCTCACCCAGCGCTCTGGTGGCTGCCAGTCCCTGTGTGCTCGGCTCCTCGATGTCCTCGCAGAGGTCGGGCAGCTGCGAGAGGAAGTGCTTGAGGACAGAACTGCTGGGGACAGCGGCGAAGGCGTCCTGGGGCTCCACGGCATCCAGGCAGCTGAGCAGCTCCTCCAAGCCGGAGCTGTCCAGGTCCGCCGGGAGCTGGTCCTGCACGTGCTGCAGCTGCTGGCTGTCCCCTGCCAGCTGGGGAAAGGCCTCGGCGAAGGCATCGGGGCCCAGCTCCAGCAGCTCCAGGGGCTCCTCAGGCACCTCTGCAAGTGTCGCCGCTGAGGAAAAAGCAAGCCAATGCAATCCCCCAGGCATCCCCCGATGCCAGCTTTGCCATGGCTCCTGGGTGTGGGGCGCTCAGCGGCCGGCTGGGCCAGCCCCAAACTCACCGTCGGGCGACGCCGTTTGGGTGCTGGCGGTCCTTGGAGCCTGGGCAGGCTCAGGGGGAGTGGGGCCGGGCAGCGGGGGCCCCTGGTCCTCACTGAGCCCCACGGCGTGCAAGCAGGGCTCCGGCAGCTGCCCCCGGCTGCTGCTCAGGGTGCGGGGCGCGGGGAGCACCTGCCCCCGCAGTGGAGGCCCCGGCACAAGGAGTGGGGGGGGGCTGGGGTGGGCAGGAGCCTGCAGCAGGCAGGTGCCTGCAGAGTGCAGGAGCTCCCCTTGGAGCACAGCCCTGGGCCCCAAGCAGAGGGGATCCTGGGGCACCAGCGTCTCCGTCAGCAGGGGCTGTCCACACTGGGAGACACTGGGGGCACAGGGAGGAGCGGTGTGGGGGAGCTGCCCCACAGCAGGGAGCTGTCCCACGGCGGAGAGCTGCCCAAGCTGCAGGTGGTGGCCCTCAGCTGGGAGGTGCCCCCCAGGTGGCAGCTGCACCCCAGTGGGGGGCTGCAGCACCTGCCCCTGGAGCCCCGGCACCACGTGCCAGGCGGTGGCCTGGGGCAGCGCGGAGGGGAGGGTGGGTACCTGCAGGGGCTGCAAGGGCACCGCCGTCGCTCCGGGGAGGGAGGGCAGCAGCCAGGCAGCCACCGTTGGCGGCACGGCTGCGACGACGAAGGGGGAGTTTTGCCTCTGCGCAACCCGCGGAAGCCATCTGGGGAAACCCTCTGTGGGAAAAAGGGCGCTGGGCTGAGCTCTGGGGCGCTGGGCTCGCCAGCAGGGCCACAGCCCCGGGAGGAGCGGGAGCCGGCTGCTGGACCTGCCATGGTGGCTGGAGAGTGGGGCGGTTGCTTGGGGAACCCGCGCAATGGGGGTTCCATCCCAACGGCTGACCAGCCCCTCGCCGACATCTTGGGGAGGACTGCAGGCTTCGGACCCAAGCAGGCTGCCCAGCGCAAGACTTGGCCATCCCCAGCAGGCTTGCCCTCCCATGCAGCACTTGCCATGCCCATGATGCTTCCACACTGCCTCTTCCCGGCCTGAGCATTTCCCACCCCAGTACCAGCTTTCATCCTCATGGTCATTTCCCATCCTGACAAGTTCACAAGATAACAGATTCCCATACAAAAGATTTCCCATCAACACGAAGCGTTTCTTCATCCAAAGAGATCTCGTCCCAAAGAATTCCCCTCTCTTGGAGGACTTTCCCAAGTATTTCCTTCCCCAGGGAATGGTACCCACCCCATTCAAGACTTCCCATCCCAATGCTTTCCCATCCCAGGAGCCATTGCCCATCCCAATGCTTTTGCTTCCCAATGCTTTCAAACCCCAGGAACATTTCCCATCTCTCTCATTTCCTAGCCCAATGGCTTTCTACCCCAAGGAAGCCTTCCCATCCCAGCACGGATTTCTCGGCCCACTCAGCATTCCCCATCCCAAGCATTTCCCAGTTTCACCATCCAACACACAGCTTGGCCACCCCACAGCTATGGAGAGATCACAAGAGGGATTTGGACGATGCTGATAGACACAAGGTCACGGGGATTTGCTGTGCTGACGATTGCTCTTTCTTACAGATCAACACAGACCCCCAGTCCCAAGGGCGCCAGGCAGAATCTGGCGAATATGTAGATACGAGGCTCTTCCATTTCTTACTGGGAAAGAAAGAGATCTGTGCGTTTCTCTCTCTCCACCTCCGGAAAAAGGAAGGGGAGAGCGCTAATGAACAGGAGCATGCTCAGCTCAGCCACCGGCATGGAGGCTGCCCGCTCCTCAGCACCTCTAAGCAGCAGCACCTTCAAGTCTCCTCCTGCAGCAGCAGCACATCAGTGTCTCTTATCCCACCAGCAGGACAGTGGCGTCTCCCATTACACCATGCCGACCTCCACGCCTCGAGTGCCAGCAGCAGTCCTCAATGCGAGCTGGACGCTCAGGGCACTTGTGGCCACCCACCTTTGTGAGCTCCAAGGCTGACAGTGACTCTCTGCTGAGCTCCCATGGCTCTCGGGCGTCCCGGTGGCAGAGCTTACAGCGCTACGCTGACTGCCAGGAGAAAAGACTGCCAGGAAATGGCTGCTCCACAATGCCAGGAGCAAGGTCTGCTGGGCTGGGGGTTCGCAGGGGAGCTCGGCCTTGGGCCTGGCAACTGTGCCTGGGAGCCAGGGATTGCCTTGGCATGCAGCTGGACACCTGGGCCTGAGAAAGCAAGGTCTCTTTCAAGACGCTTGGCACCATCGTCACCCAGTGGCTGTCTCAGGGGGACGAGAGAAATGCGAGCTCCTTTCTCTCGGAAGCACCACGTCCTCCTCTCTTTGTTGTATTTGGCTATGACTTTAGGAATCCCTGCAATCCCTGCAGCTGTGTCCCCTGCCAGCTTCTTGTGTGCCCCAAGCATCCTCGCTTGCAGGGCAGTAGAAGATGCAGAAAAGGCCTTGCCTTAGTAGAAGCACTGCCCTGCAGGAGCTCCAACATCCCTCTTAACAGCACACTGTAGCCCCAAAAGCCCCCCAAACGGCACATTTCAGCTACTGGGAAGGAAATGAGCTCAGTCAAGGTGAGCTACCCGCTCAAGGCCCAGGTGTCTGTGAGGCGGTGTTGGCAAGGAGTCCTGTTGTGTGAGTCCGTTCTTTGTGGGTGCTCCAGTCCCCACAAGGCTTGCTCTGAAAGGCCCAGGAGAGTCTTGTGGGCACTGGCCTGGGGTCCCAGGCTGAGCCAGCTGCTGGCTGCAAATCAGGGAGGCTTGCTCAGTGTCTTGGTTTGGGTTTGCGTGGCCAGGCTGTGGGAGCGGGGGGCTGCAGGGGTGTCCTCTGTGAGAAGAATGCAGCAGCTGCCCCATGGGAGCTCAGGGCCGCTTCCAGGAGGCTCCAGGAAGGACCCACCCGCTGCTGCCCAGAACGTAGAGCAAAAGGATGATGTTTGCACCTGGGGGAGAGCCCATCTAAGAAAGGGAACAAAAGCTGCTGCCCAGCAGCGTCTGGGTCAGGGAGGAGTGAGAAAGCTCTGTGCAGCCCCCAAGGTCCGTGCAGCAGGAGGCAGGAGGTGCTCCAGGCTCACAGCAGCAATTCCCCTGTGGCCTGTGCAGGGAGAGGCCCCTGGTGGAGCAGGCTGTCCCCCTGCAGCCCATGGGTCCCCCGTGGAGCAGATCCCCACGCTGCAGCCCCCCCATGGAGGAGCCCATGTTGGAACAGGTGGATCTGCCCTAGAAGAGGCTGCGACCTGTGGAGGAGGCCCCAGAGGAGCAGGGTGTTCAAGGAAAGGTTGGAGCTGGTGCTTAGGAACATGGTTTATTAGGTGACATTGGTAGTACAGTGATGACTAGACCGGACAAATGTGAAGGTCTCCTCCAACAATAATGATTCTATGATACCTCCACCACGTCCTCCTCCTCCACTTCCTCCTCATTGTTCACGGCCTTTTTCTTGTCCACTGCCTCCTCCTTGTCTACTGCGTCCTCCTCGTCCCCCGCCTGCTAATCCTATTTCTCATTTTCCTCCTCCTTCTCCTCCTTCCCTGCCTCTTGCACCTCCAACACCTCCTCCACCTCCACTGCCTCTTCCTCCTTCTCCTTCTCCAGCCCCACTGACTATTCCTCCTCCACATCTTCCTCCACCTCGGCAGAAGCTTCCTGGCCAACTTCCTCTGCATGCTCCTTGCTAAGGCATGCTGGTAGCAATGATCGTGAGCCCAGAAATGTCAGGAGGAGTTGCCACGAACCAGGTGTGCCAAGGCGGCTTCTCTGGGAGGCTATGGCTGTGAGCGCTGCCCACCGCTCCTAATTCTAGTTCCATTTGTCACCCCACAGGACCATGTCACCGTGACCCTGTAAGGTAGCAGCTGGCGGCTCCTG